GCCTCTTAATTTTTTGTTGATGAGCTAAATATATTGAGTTTATTAATTCTTTTGCTATAGAATGTACTTTCCAGACCCCAATTTCTAGGTCTTTTATGAATTCTTTCTAATTTTTCAACATCCCTTTTGAAATGTAGATACCAGAACTCAACATGGCAATATACAACTTTGCATTTGACTGTGTGAAAGAGCATGTTCCTGTAAGCCTACCTTGCAAAGTGATCCATTTGTTATACTTTGTTATACACTTTTTTCCCATTAATGTCTTTACCTTTCCTTTTGACTAAAGTTGTTTTAAATTAATAAGGTGCCCTTGGCTACTTACAGGTATTCAAATGAACCTTGAGAAGTCTTGTAGCTTTATTTTACCTATAGAAAAATCTACTGGAAGAGCACTGTAGAAATGTTAGACAAGCTGGATAGCTGCTGCACAGAGAACCTGTGCTCCCACCACCCGAACGGTTTGGGGGGAGGGGGCCCTGTGTATACATCCCAGAAGGCTCTACAGGCTCCCCTGGCTGTTGGAAAGTACTGAGTGCCCAGGGTAGCTCTTATTGGCTGGCTGCTCCCAGGGATCATGTGTCCCTGGGGAACTCCTGCTCACAATCCCCACTTCTTCCTTCCTTGCTGTGAGGCTTTGAGAGAGACCTAGAGCATATCCCTTCTCTGGTCAGTTGCAGGTGTGTCAAATGTCAAAACTGGGGCAAAGTCAAGCCAGAGTCAGGTATGATAAGGGTGGGTCTGGGTTTCTGGATCACATGCAGGGGACACAGCTGCCTTGGCACCCTGTGTCTTCCTGAAGTCCTGCAGTGCAGTGCAGGGCTGATAAAAGGGGCTGGCTCTCCTTGTCCCAAAATAATCAGAGGGAGGGGTTTGGTCCATGCTCATTTGAAACATTGGAGTGCAGCCCAAGTCACAACTTCTCCCTGGAGTGGGGAGGAAGGCAGAGGGGCCTAGAGCAATGCATGTTGAGATGCTAGAGGATCGCACTGCAACTGCAACTGGAAGGTTAAGTGTACATGAGTTAGTTTCTTCCAGACCAGAGCTGGAGGTTCCAGGGGAAAATTAACTCAATTCCAATGAGGTAGAAGCAGCTCCCAGGACATTTTTTCATGGGACAACAATGTGGAAATTTGTACACTTAAAGTGTCTACAAGGAAAACTGTGATTCTTCCAGTACCTATGTAATGCTTGTATGCAGCCCTTGTCAGAAATGGAGATGTATGTCAGATATTCATCAGTATCCCATCTTGGGATTTATCCATTAGTTTCATAGTTTCTAGGGTCGGAAGGGACCTGAGCAGATCATCTAGTCTGACCCCCTGCCATGGCAGGAAGAGCACTGGGGTCAAGTGACCCCAGTAAGGTGGTCGTCCAACCTCCTCTTAAAAACCCCCAGGGTGGGAGCCTGCACCACCTCACTTGGAAGCTGGTTCCAGACCCTAGCTGCCCTGACCGTGAAGTAGCGCCTCCTGATGTCCAACTTAAACCTTCCCTCCGCCAGCTTGTGACCATTGTTCCTGGTCACTCCTTGCGGCGCTCGGGGGAACAGGGACTACCCCAGCGCCTGCTGATTTTTTTTTTTTTTTTTTCCCCCCCCCCCC